TAACCAATGGACACGGACAACGGGGGGGTGAGAGCATGAGGAGGAGGGTAGGGGGTAACGTGGGGATAAAGACACATACGTAATATCTTAATCAATAAAAAAATATATTTAAAAAACTAATTTATGATGGTAGAAATCAAAACAGAAATTACCTAAGTGAGGATCTTACTGGAAATGGGAATGAGGGACTTTCTAGGGTGACAGAAACGTTCTCTATCTTAACTGAGGTATTGGTTACACAATGTATCATGCATTTAGCAAAAGCCATTGAATGTATACGTAAGGTCTGTCAGCGCATTAGGTACATAAAATATCACAATAATAATACTTTTTAAAAAATCCTGGCTAGCTATTGCATAATAATACACATAAAGGTTTGCAAAATAAAAAGAGAGCCCTGACCGCTGTTGCCCAGTGGTTACAGTGTGAGCCTGCGCATTGGAGGGTCTTGGGTTCGATTCCCAGTCAAGGGCATGTACCTGGGCTGCAGGTTTGCTCCCCACCCACTGTTGAGGTGCATGTGGAAGGCAACCAATTCATGGGTCTCTCTCACATCAATGTTTCTCTCTCTCTCCTCTCTCTTTCTTCCTCCCTACTCTCTTCCACTCTCTAAAATATCAATGGGAAAAAAATCCTCAATCCTCGGGTGAGGATTAAAAAATAAATAAGTAAATAAATAAATAAAAATTTTAATATACTTTCCGAAAATAGTTACATTAAAAAATCAAGATAATGACCAGCTTTTGTACATCAACAAGATTGAGAAGAAATTATTTCTAAATTATAAGTGTTATAAGTTAATGAGATGACATATTTTTTTCTTCTTTTAATTTATCTAAATTTTCTACTTTTATGAAAAGAAGTATAAGAGAGAGGGTTTGGCTTCCTGTTATAAAATAAGTCATGAGGATGTAATCTATGGCATAAGGAGTAAAGTTGATAACATCGTCATAACTATGTATGTTGAATGTATAATCATATTTTAATGGACTTGTTTAAATATGTGCTTTTTCCAATGTTAAACTTTGAATATGAATCAGGCGACTTTAAATAAAAGTTACATATTTTCTGATGACCTCCTGCTTTGTATACAACTCAGGTTCTCATTATCAGAAGTCTAAGGGGAAAAAAAGATATTTCTTTTTCAGGGAAGAATAGGACAGACAAGATGGATAAAGCAGAATAGCTTTTTTTCTTTCTAGTGTCCTGTGCCTGGTATCTTTGAAGTCCTATGAATCTGACGCTGGTTGCAAAGAAAAAAATTTTATCAGGAGAAATTATTTTCTGAATCTCTTTTTATCAGAGTCCATTAAGACCTATGCTGGCTGGTTCCTTTTTCCACTGGACATGCCTCTGATTTTTGAGGAGGGGAGCATTATTAAATGTAATAGGATACTGAGTGGTTGAAAAGTTAATGTAGTTTGAATTTAACAATTTAATTCAGAAATATTACTGAATGCCTACCCACTGTGCTCACAACAGTAAATAGTGGTTATGTATTCTTTACAATTTAAAATTAATACAATCCTACTTTCAAACTTAGAATACATAAAAATTTAATTTTGTCATCTAACATTAGTCATCATAAAAGAAATAGAAAAGAGTACTTGGCAATTTCTGTCACATAAAAACATTCAAACTGTAAAGTCTAAGCACTCATTTTTCAGTGAGAAATTTTTAAACTAAAGCTGAGGACAGTGAAGGTTATTTTTGTTACGCCAATGGAATAGCAGTTTCCTGAGAACAGCACACTCACCTATGGTAAAACATTCGAGCCATGCCCATTCTTTGCTTCTCCCCTCCTGATAGGACATCTTTCCAGTCCATAATAGCATCCCATCCTTAAAAAAATAAAGATACATATTTTATAAAGCAGTCGTTTGTTACAGTTTTGGACAGGTGATTCTGGCAAGTTTATTAACACAAAGAACCTGGTATTTTACACAGAACACATGATTGGATAAACTAGAGAGCCTCCTGTATAAGCATTTTGTTTTAGATATGATATTTTGAATGATAATTCCTTTTGCTGACAAATCATCTTCTAAGAATTTGAAATACTTACACTCTTAAAATTTATTTGTTTCTGAATATGTCCAAAGACTTGGTATAGTTATACTTATTTTGCAGGGTGTTGGGAGAAAAGACCAACACATTTGCATAGGCCTATTGCAAAGTCTATCAAGAGTAAGGCAGGAACTAACGTAAATGCTTCCATGTGTCTGGCACTTTATATGAGTTTTCTCATTAATATTCCACAATCTTGTAAGGTAGATATTATTAGTTGCATATTATAGATGGGTACACTGAAACTCCTGGAATAATTGACATGTCTAATTTTACACAGCCAGATATCAGTGTTGGTATTTATATGCAGGTCTATTTTCATGCTTGTACAGTTTATTTATGCCACATCTCTTACAACTTCTTAGTTACTGACTTTTTGTTGGATATTTACTCAAAAAAAGCAATGCTTCTATTTTTAAAAAACAGTTTAGATCTACACATACTGACATAGAAATATACTCAGAATTTTTTTATATGAAAAGCCAAATTGCAGAATTATGTGTGCCATTTTCCTTCCAGGAAATTTCTATTTATTTAAAACTATATCCTTATATTAGGAAAAATGCCATCTGATTCGAAGTTCTTGCATCTAGTGAAAACTGTTGACATAGTATTTCTTCTGTGACTGAATTTTTAGAACATTTTTCTTATTCTTTTAAACAATATGTTTTTATTGATTTCAGAGAGAGGAAGGGAGAGAGAGAGAAATAGAGACAGAAACACCTATCTGCTGCCTCCTGCACGCCCCCAACTGGGTTCGAGGCTGAAATGTTGGCATTTACTCTAACAGAGAATCAAACTGGCGATCTCTTAGTGCGTGGGCCAATGCTCAACCAACTGAGCCACACCAGCTGGGCTCTATGACTGAATTTTGTAGTATTTATGAAACATAAGTGAGCATTTGAAAACTAGGTTCAGATTACTACCGTGTGGATAAATATTCTGGGCTTTAAAAATACTTCTCCCTTGCCACCTTAGAAGACAAAAGTATTTGGGTCAAGAGAAGTTTTAGCTTTACATTATTTAAATAAATCATG